GGGGGTCGTCCGGCGGTGGCGGGGTTGGATGGCCCCCGCGGCGGGGGTCCGGGGGCCGCAGCCTCACACCGGCTTTGCCTCCGGGGATCCCCGCTCGACAACGCTGATCTGACCCAACCGTCGCTCGATGGTTGACGTACATTTGGATGTTTCACTTTGAGTTGGAAAGGATTCCAAGAAACAAGAACAGGGCCGATGGTCTGAGTCGCGTTAACTGGGACAGCTTAGATCAGGAGTCAACTGAAGATACTCCACCAGTTGATGGGTTCTTGTACCAGGAAGAAGACGTCCGCCTCTATATAAATGAATGGTCTTTGCGAGTGCCCAGTTGTGTTAGCCACCCCATATGGATAGCGCCGAGAGGGTATGAGCAAAAGGCAGATTTAGTCCTCAAGCCGTTTTAGGAGGAGGACCCATGGGGAGGCAAGGATGTCCACCGGATGATGAAATTGGCATTGGCTGGCACACACAGTTTGGCGGAGGAAGTGAGGACGATAGAGGAGGGTCCCACCCAGGTGGAGGAACATGAGCAGTTAAAGGGAGGAATGTATCTGCTTACAAATACGGTTCTGCAAGGAGACTTTGACCAAAAGGGCTCATTCAGTCCTATTGAGGGCGAGGACTTCGTTCCTGAGAGCCAGGATAATGAGTTCGAGGAAGGAGAGATCAAGGAAGTCTTTCGTGTGGAAGAGTATGATGGGATCTACCTTGAGCTAGGCCTATTCCTATCCTGTGAAATGAGGGACAGGGATGCAAGCGTTAAAACTCAGAAGATGAGGCATCTCTATGTGGTGAGGGATGACCATTTATTCATAAAACGACAAGTCGGAAATCCCAAGCGGGTTGTATGCGGGAGGAACCGGCAAATCGACATTATAGCGGCATTACATGATGGTATAGCAGGAGGGCACAGACGGATAGGTGCCACGTGTGCAAAGATAAACGAACTATATCATTGGGATGGGATGCTGAGCATGGTCATAAAGTACTGGCAATCTTGTGTCCCCTGCCAGGAGAGATCGGCGCAAAGGCCGGGGGAACCCCTACACCCAAGGTTGGAGAGAGAGGTAGGCGCAGTCGTACATCTGGATCTACTATTCATGCCGATTGGGGAGAACGGATGTAATTACATCTTCGATGCACGAGATAACCTTACTGTGTTTGTGGACGGTCGGGCTATTCTCACGAAGACCGGCCCAGTTTTGACGAGCTGCATCGAAGAGTACTATCTACGCTACCCTTTCGTCAAAGAGTTCGTGATGAATCGAGGATCGGAGTTCACCTGGAACGAGGTGCAGACTTTGCTTGCAGGATATGGAGTAGTGGCGAATTACACCACTGTTGCACATCCTCAAGCAAATGCACCTGTGGAAAGGGGGCATAGTACCATCACGAATCTCCTAGCCAAATGGACGGAAGGCAGACCCGACCAGTGACCAAAGTTTCTACGAGCAGCCTTCTTCGTGGAGAATGTCACGGTAAAGAGGACTACCAAGTACGCGCCTACCACTCTGTGGTATGGGAGGCATGCCACCTTCCCTATCGAGAGCTTCCTAAAGACTTGGAGGCGCCAGGACTTGGAGACGAACCTGTCGTTTGAGGAGTTGCTCGATATTAGGGCACGACACATGGGCGCGGCCGAGGAAAGGATACGAGAGGCCTCCAAGCATGTAGAGAGGAACCGAATGGAGGATAAGATGCGGTGGGGTCAGATGGCGCGAGTGCAGAAGGAGCCTTTGGCAATTGGAGAAATCGTGCTGCTATACGATTCCTCTTTGGAGAAGCAGTGGTCGAGGAAGCTTGACAAAAGGTGGTTGGGGCCCTACAGGATTGTGCGGTGTGGTGAATTCGGGGCCTATCAGATCGAGGAGCTAGATAGGATAGAATGGAAGGACTGGGTATCCGGGACAAGATTAAAAAAGTTCGTGGTCAGGGAATAGGTAAAAGCGACAACCTTTTTTTTTTAATAACCCCTCGTTCTAAGTGTCGCAGGCTATGGTCGGGATAGATAGAAAGAAGGGGGGGGGGCTTGAGTAGTCTGGAATTGTGTGTATGATTGCTTTGAGACTTGATGAGCCTTGTTGCTGATCATGTTGTGTGCTTGGTTGTTTTCTCTCGCCTGATGCGCAGGTCTGACTTCTCAAAGACAGCCATGCAGAGGGGCGGGAGGGACACACGGCCACGACAGAGACCTCTCAGGACATCCGGGGGGGGGGGAGCGGCATGGACCCTTCAGGAGAGAGCCTACACCTGTCTTTGATGATGAGAACATCGAGCTCTTCCTACACGTCTATCGGGATCATGCGACCCAGAGGGGGTGGGACGTGCCTGAGAGGATATGACAATTAAGAGGGATTGAGCGATTTAAGGAGCCTATCACGCAGATCAGGGAGGAGGCGCTGACCTGGCCGGAGGTGGAAGCAAGAATGCAGAGGTTGAGGGCTTTGCCTATGGGGCGCAATGGGTTGCCTATCCGGTTGGAGGAGGGAAATGCGGAAGAGTTCATCCCAGCATATGAGCAGTACATGAGTGATCAGGGAGTGCAGAAGGATGAATGGATGCAGACCCTACTCCTATGGACCAGGAGGGCGGACAGACCACTGGCAAGACAGATCCGAGATAGGGCACGTGACTGAGAGGACTACCGGGCTCAGTTAAGGGAGGTGTTTCGGCGGCCAGAACCAGATAGACCTGAGCCCAGGGTTGATAGGAGGCGAAGAAGCAAGAGGCTGAGGGATCTGGAGCCGAGGGAGCCCATCGTGACTAGGGGAGGTCGGAAGGCCTTGGCGCAACGGGAAGGAGGACGAGCAGGACCTGCTTATACGACAGAGTCTTTCCCTGCCTGTGGACTTAGGCAGGTGGAGTTCCATCAGGTTACTAGCAGTGATCTACAGGGGCCGTCGCTACGATCGTCATGGCAAGGAGAGAGCGGACCATTAGAGGCTCCATTCAGAAGTTTGGAAACCCATCTTGATGCTTCCCAGTGGGGAGCCCCTTCTGTAGGGGTGGGCCCAACGGATCCATCAGGAGAGGAGCCGGCACGCCCTGAGCCTGAGACTGAGCCACGCGGGCAGGAGGAGTTGCATGCTGGGGAGATTATTATGATAGAGGGCGACACTCCTCCTCGTACCCCAGTTCCGGAGCAGGTACGACAGCCTTGGCCAGAGGGAGTCCCGAAGCCAGATAGCCAGGAGATTCCAGCACCCCCGCCAGAAGCCACTATGTCACCCAGACAGGAGATTGAGGCACGAGGACCGGAAGAGGGATGGAGGACTGAGTCCCGCGTGGTCATTGATTCACGCCTAGCTGCGCATGCATCTAAGCACCCTGATATTGAGGTGCCTATCCCGGTTGAGCCATCATCTGGGTCAGCACACGTCAAGCCAAAGAGGGGCGCGCAGACTCTAGGCAGGAAGGTCCATGGACTGAGAGTGGAAAGGGTGTCAGATGAGACTGCAGAGGCAAAGTCTGCTAGGATACAAGCCCGCCTTGCGGAGATACATGCGCAGAGGGACAGGATGGAGGCTGCAGGGATAGCGCCGACACCACCATTTGATCCAAAGACGAGCGAGCAAAGGATTGACGAGCTGTGGGCCAGGTATGAGAGCCGAAGGGAGGCGGCTCGCCAGAGGTCACAAGCGGCAGGGCAAGCAAGTGAGAGGGCAGATGAGGCGATAGAGATTGGAGAGCTGGGATTTTCTGCCACCAGGAGAGTCATTGAGCGGGTAGACAGAAGGATGCGACAAGCAGCCACCACGTCCTTCCAGAGGTATACTCTGCTCAATGACGAGCTGACAATCAGGAAGGGGGAGGTGGAACAGCTGACTGCCCAGCTCACAGAAGAGAAGGCTGAGAATAAAGCCTGGAGGACTCGCCTGGAAGCGAAAGAAGCTGAGTGGGAGACGAGGCTCAAGGAGATGTCGGCTGCAGTGGAAAGATTTTCAGCCACTAAGGTGGTCGATTGGACTAAACAGAGCAGGTATGGCATTCAAGGCGAAGGGATTCAGGGACTGTTTGGCCAGGGGGAGGCACCAGAGACATCTCAACAGGGAAAGCTAAATAAGGTGTTTATGGATCCGGCTGAGGTAGAGGCGAGGAGAGAGGCTAACAAAGGAAGCTTTGAGTTCAAGGCTCCCACTGAGTTAGCCTCGCGGCAAGAGGCCCCTGGTTCAGCAAGCGCCCCTATGGAGGTGCCAACTAAGGAGCCCCAGCCTGCACCGGCGGAGGAAGAAGCTGCAGAAGAGTCGCTTACGATCCTTTTGGAAGTGCAGGAAGGGACCCTTACTGGAGCAGTGGTACCTCCTCAGTCTGAGGCCCAAAGGGGAGAGTCGTCGCGTCTGGACGAGTTGGTGGCAGCCATGGAAGTAGATATGCAACCAGAGAGGCCTCAGAGGCTGGAGACCCCGGAGCATGTGCCGGAAATGAGGGAGTTGAGGACCCAGTTGGGCTCCTGGGCCACCGGGACTGACTCAGGAGGGCTGGCCACTGAGCGACAGGAGCAGGGGGCCACGAGCCAGCCTGCAAGGGCAGCCACTCCCCAGGCCTTAGAGCCTCACGAGACTTAGGAAGTGGCTGTGACAGAAAGGACCCACGAGGGCAGGCCACTGAGGTTGGATACTCCCGAGTACAGGCCCGAGGGAAGTAAGCAGCGAGGGGAGTCGAGTGCTCAGGGACTTGGGGAAAGGACTTATGGGTCAGGGCACTTGCCTCAGAGTCACGAGGTAGGCAGCGAGACAGGAGAAGCACTCCCGTCGTTAGGAGCCCAGAAAAAGAAGTTTCAGAGGAAGTCGGAAGCTATGTGCTTCTACTTTCTGGATGGCATGCACAGGGCCCTAGACTGTCCTAAGTTCCTCAAGGATAAGGCCGCGGGATGGGTTACTGAGCGGGATGGAAGGATGTACGATAGGCAAGGTCGAGTGGTGGAGAGAGCTCCAGATGGGGGTAGACCTCAGTTGTATAGGCAAAACCAGGAGGAGATGAGTGGGTAGGGACTGGTTTGTCTATACGTCAGTAAGGGTAGGATGTCCTTGTGCGTAAAAAAATGAGTTAAGGATATAGATGCTATGAGTCGGGTACATGTTTCTTGTTCTCTTGTACATAAGTAGGAGGTAGTGTACAATAGAGATTTGGGGATTTTCTTGTTATAACTCAAGAGATAGGACTCAGTTGTATGATACTTGAAAACATTTGGTTTACATTTTTGTTTTAGTACTCAGATTTCACTTGTACTCTTAAGAGTGTTTTGAGAGTTGAAAACACTTGAGACATGAGTCTGCTTGATATGAGAGGGGCAGGGCATTCAGTACCAAATATTGATTTTTGAGAGACATTCTATTCCTGAGTATACACTGAGTGAAAATCTTGAGACTATTTCCTTGTATATAATGATCACTCTCACTCTCACATGTGTGGGTTTTTCTGATGTATGATGGTTTGTGTGGAAGATATATGAAAAACTTCTCGTATGTTTCGTATTTTGTGATTGTGGATATATGTGAACTGTCTACTCTTCGGTATACTCGTGCGATCTGCCCATGGGCGGATGATAGGGCAGAGTATAAGAAGGGGAAGTGCAGCTTGTTTGTAAAAGAAATGTGGGGATCCTAAATGATTTATGAGTCCTTGAGACTTGAATGCTTACCATGCCGAATGTTTATTGTTTGAGTTGTGTTGAGGGCCCATAAGTTGGCCTCTCAGTTTACGTGGTTTTGTGGTTGAGACACCTTCTAAGTAGAAAGGCTTATGTTTTATTTTGGAGACTCATCTTCAAAAAAAAGAGATATTTTACAAAGGTTATGTGAGAGTTCATCCTAGAGAGAGAGGGATGGCTGGGGGACCTATTGAGTGAGACCCCCTTGCATGAAAGGTGGTTAATAGATTTAATGGCATGGAAAGCTGGTTTTTGGAAGATAAACACTGACGAGAAGGACTAGGATTTGTTGGCCATTTGGTGGGATTTTCAGGAATGTTGCAAAATGGTTTGATTTTGAGAGATGTCATTAAGATGTGTGACCTTCTTACCCTGATCAAGTTGGGAGGTCACGGCCTTGTGAATCTGGCGGTGATTCTGTTTTGTGAATGTGGAGAGGTTGCCATGTTTCCTCTGTGTTGTTTCACAGAGGGCTGGTAAATACCTTTTATGTGTGGCAGGCCTATGCGTAGTCCCGCAGTAGACCTGTATTGTTGCGACACACCTTCCAGCCACCTGTGCTAATCTTGAGGCATATAAGGAAGACCAAGCTAAACGGTAAAGCTTTAGCACCACTAGGGCGTAACCCCTAGGGATGGCTGCTGGCCGGCACAACCTGGCCGCGGGCCCACGTCTTACCAAAGGAGTAAAGACTTAAAGGTGTGGCCTCGTAGGAGGGTTTTACTCCTGCGGAACAGCGCGGGATAGGAGTCGAGTCATGTGAGTCTTTTTTTTTTAGGGAGTCATGATTGAATGTTTATCAAGAGAAAGCCTATCGTGGCACAGCCTGCGAGGGCACTACCGCTAAAATAACAACGTGGTGGGCCGTAGATCTGGCTCGATCGACCAGGCTATGGTGGGCCAAGATGGAGACCTAACATTTCTGTACTAGACCGCAGAAAGAACTGGGATGAGATTTACGGACACATATAAGTATGTGTTTGATTGTGAGGATTTCTTAGAAGGACGCTAGAACGCCTTCAAAGCTCTCGGTTAGGGCTCGCGCCTCTAGTTACGGCGCTGCTTGCAGGGTAGAAGCTAGGGGCACTTAACGAGAAGCCGACGTTTGTCCAGGACAAAGGGAAGAGGACGATTATGAGGGTCTTTCAGATTTATGCTGTAGTACAAATGCGTAGTACACCAACGTCCTAGTGTTAGGACAATGAAGACCCAAGTTAAAATCCTGGCGGCATATAGTTGTGTTGGCAGAGATTGATGGAGGCCTCGAACCTGAGTCTGTCGGCTAATCGGATGGGTTCCTTTCTCGTCGGCATTTGGAGTATGGATGTATTTATAGCTTTCTGATTTGGCGAAGCGACGGGGACGTCGTTTAATATGGTTCGGTAAGTTGTCGGTGCGAATACCCTGATAAGGGTATCCGCCCTGTTTTTTTGAAGTGACAGAAAGCTAAATTAAATTGGAATCTTTGAGGGTCTGCGCAGACTGCGGTGGTCGTCCGTACGCAGGCTAAGGGTTGTCTGAATAAAGGAGGCGAGTGGGCGCGCATTTTTAAGGCGCGCGAGTGATTTTTTCTCCTTGTGTTTGATTAAGGAACCGATTGGACTAAGGATCAAGAGGTTTGACTATGGCTCACCACGCCTAACCGGCAGTAGGTCTGCTGCACATGGTGGTGCGTAGGGCATCCACGACGTAATTTGGGCAAGCCGGTGCGGACGCCTAGCGACCGCACACTTGGTTGTAGGTGGAGATGAGGCTGAGGCTGTTTTCTGAGGCCTAAGCACTGTGTTGCATCACCTTATATTGGATTTGGCGCACGCTGGTCTCAGGCTTGGGCTTAGCCTTATGGGTTACGACACTAGACTTATGACACGGAGGTGCGAGGATCAAGGCCAGCGGGCGACGGCGCAGGAGCGGTGGAGCGTTGGAGGAGCTAAGGGGTTGAGGTTCCCATGGGACTATCCCCCTTAGTTTTGTTGAGGGGGTCTGGTCGCGGCCCAAGGAAGTACGGGTCGATTTTTCCTCCCCTATCCATTGGTCTTACTCTTTTTTTGGAGAATCCGGTATCGATTCCGGGACCGACAGCTGACCCGAAAGACTAAGCGAGGTGGGCACACCTATGGATGGTTGGAATGCGGGCCGTGGTCGGGCCCAGGCTTGGAGGAAGGGGGGTAAGGATGAGCAAAGTAGGCCAGGCTGGGCACAACCTAGGTCAGGGAACGCCACAGTGGAAGCCAGGGGCTGCCGCAGTAAAGGCAAAAAGTGTCGCGGGGAGGCCTGTGGTGGTACTGCTACGCTGGTCACACTCCAAAGCTCCCTCAAGGTGGCTGAACGGTCGGACCTGTTTACCAGTCGTTGCAGGGCTTGCTGCCATCAACGCTGCTCCAGCCGGAAGAGGTCGCAAAGAGTGAAAAACAGGCAGCGGAGTACTGGAAAGGTTAGTGGTAGAATGATGGATGAACCCGGACGCGGGTGGGCGCTGGGTGCCTCCGGGAGCAAAGGCAGAGAAAGAAGTAGTGAGAAGTGGGCATGGCAGGAGGTAAGAACGCGTGTCCCGCTCGTTCCTTGATGGAAACGAGCGGGGAAAGTTGCTATAGAAGGGTTTTCGACCAGGGCGATTCTGATTATGGAGTCAGATTCGGAAAAAAACTAGTAAGAAGAAAGATTAATAGAAAAGTTTGTGCGCAAAAATGGAGAAAATAGAGAGTGAAATTGCAATAGTACGGTCATTTCGTTTCCGATTTGCTTGATTCAAAATGCTAAATGGGGGGTTTTGGATGCTGCGAGGTAGATCGCGAGGTTAGTCTTAGAGGTTAGTGGCTAGATTTTGAGATATTAAAGGTAGGAGCTGCATGGGGGTGAGGGGGCTGAGGAAACGACAATGAACCTACCCTTGTTTTAGCAGAAAATGCATCCAAAACTTCATGACGCCTGTTGATAAAAGTAGCGGGGGAGGGACGGATGCACTCTTGGAGACTTACTTGGGGGCGGTGTGTTGCTCGTTCTAACGAGATAGGCTAGCGGTGCGATTACAGTGAGTCGGCGGTACATCCCCGTGTAGTCACTAGTCTCAATCCCAGTCAGTCCGGTCAAGCAAGCACCGCATGGGACTGTGGGCACCACCGGCAAGGGAAGAAGGGGGTCTGACCAGCGAGCCATAAAAGTATAAATTAAACCACCAGTACCTACTGGTTGTTAAGGCCCGTGGCTCAGGCTACCGGTAGGCCGGTCCTTGCCGAGCCTCGACTTTAATGTCGAGCCTCGGACAACTGGTAGTACACAACTGGAAAAAAGAAAGAAAAGAAAAAAACAAAAAAAAAACGAGGACAACAATCAGAAAAAAAAAAAAAAAAAAAAAAAAAAAAAAAAAAACGAAATCACGATTCACTCCGATTCAGACGTTTCCATCGAGAACGAATCTTCCTCGATAAAGAGGAAGATTCATGAAAGAGAGAGAGAGAGAGAGGGAGAGAGAGAGAGAGAGAGAGAGAGAGGGCGTCAGCCAGTGTCTGACGCCGAGTTTGGTGCACCAAACTCGGCATCAGACATTGGCTGACGCTCTCTCTCTCTCTCTCTCTCTGGGAACGAATCTTCCGCGATAACGCGAAAGATTCATTCTCATTTCAACGACAATCTCTCTCTCTCTCTCTCTCTTCCCCTTCCTTCCCCGGCCCCGTTCGCCCGTCTGTTTGATTTCGTGGTCTGTTTTTGTTTTCGGTTTTTTTTTTTTTTTTTGCCTGTTTTTTGTGGGCTACCGGTCGCACCCTGGTGGGTACCCCGCCCAACGTGACGCGTATACAACCGTGTCATTTTTCTCAAGCAGGGCGAGGTATTGGTGGTTTAAGAGGCGGCGCCCAGCCATGCATCCATTTCTTCATGAGCCATGCGGAAGCGACGCCCGAGCAATTGTGTGAGGAGCTCTGCAGCTGGCCGTAGCCAAAGCGGGTTGGGAAGGAGATAGCGTGATAGCGTGGTAATAAT